GCGATTGGCACAGGACAGAGCGGAGTTTAGGGCTGTTGTACATAGGGTCGCTATGAGTCGCAGGCGACTCGACGGCACATAACAACAACAACAACACAAAACCTTACCAGCCAGGTTTGTGGTGATATTATGTGGAGTAAAGGTCTCACTCGTGGTGACCTCATGTGTGCAGAGGAGAGCTTCTCCATTGAGTTAATCCAGACCTTTCAGAGGCCCAGGTCAGGTTTAGGAATCTCTGGTGGTGTAGTGGCAGGAAGCCGTGCTGCAATCCCAAAGACATGCAGATGGAATCCACCAACTGCTCTGTGGAAAAAGGATGGACAATCTCTTCCAGTGCAATTTACTGCCTCTGAAAACCTGCTGGAGGGTCAGCTATGGGTCGGTTCTGGCTTGACAGCACACAACAGCTGTCAAGTCTGTACTCTACGGTGCTTCTAGGAGGCTTTGACCTGCCAACCTTTAAGCTGATGGTCAGTTCCTTATCTCCTGTGCAAACACCAAGCCCATACCCTTGTTTATACTTTGCCCTTCTTTTCTTTCTACTGTCCATATTGCCCTGCATCTTCTATTTAAGGAGTATTTATGAAGTACCCATTACAGAAGAATTGATACCTCTAAGCTGTAGTATTGAAGAAGAGCACTGAACATCCCATGGATGGCCAAGAAAATGAACAGTTATGTCTTGGAGAAGATGCAGCCAGAATGCTTTTTGGAGACCAGAATGATGAGGCTTTGCCGCACATACTTCAGGCATGTTGCTAGGAGGGGCCAGTCCTTGGAAAAGGACGTCTAGCTGGGAAAGGTGGAATGTCAGAGAAAGAGAAAAAGACCCCAAACAAGACGGATTAACACAGTAACAATGGGTTTGAGAGTATCAGAGATGATAAGGATGGCACAGGATAGGGCAGGAGTCAGATCCATTGTTTCCAGGGTAACATGTTATAGTTTGCTTGACAGCCGCTAACATCATCAACCATTCAAGTATGGTGTGGAGTCCTTGAATGGTACAACTAGTTAAATACCATGCTGTGACCTGAAAGGTTGCCAATTTGAATTTGCTCACAGGTTCCTAGGAAGAAAGGTCTGTTGATCTGCTTTCACAAGGCCATCGAAAACCATTTCTCTGACACACATGGTATCTCCATGAGTCAGAATCAGCTCAATAACAACTGGTTCTTGGTTTATGTGCAGAGAAACATACCATGCAGTTGAGCCCTTGGCCATATGCTGTCTTACACGATTTAGGGTATGTGTGATTCAGGCTTTCACAATGAAATTATAAGCTTCTAGAGGGGATGGAGATATGAAAACTCCTTCTTTAGTCTCTGTTGTTGTGTGCTGTCTAGTCAATTACAATGCCTGACGATGCTATTGGACAAAACAGAACCGCCCTATCAGGTTTCCTAGGCTGTAATCTTTATTTTTGCAGTTTGCCAGATCTTTCTTCTGTGAAGCAACTAGTGGTTTCACATTGCCAACCTTGCGAGGGTTCCCTTTGTCTTCAGTATTGCACCTAAGACAGAAGCTAGCACAGCAGTCTGCTTCTAGGTAACTATTTGTTGACTGGACTTCTAGACCCAAGGATTCAGCATGAGCTCTTGCCCCAGGAAAAGAGAATAAGGAACGCACACGTGGATCAGTGCTCTCCAAGCTGTCACTCTCCATAGACAGGGATGAGTTACTTTATCTTCTCTATCCACAGAGACCCCCTCCATCCTGCTTAACAGGTTCTTCCCCTCAGCAACTCTCAATAGTAAATAGCGAAGTGCATCCTTTGTGTGTCTGCTTCTTATCTGCCACATTTTCAACTGGACCTCTGATCTCCACACAGCTCGATTGTTCCATAAATGCCTCCTCCTCCTCCTCTTCCTCCTCTTCCTCTTCCTCTTCTTCTTCTTCCTCTTCCTCCTCCACTTCCTCTTCTTTTTCTTCCTCCTCCTCCATAAATGCCTCTCAGGGATGATGCCGGTGAAGGTCATTACAGTCTGAGTTCTCAGGGTCCCGGAAGTGAGCAACCATTGTGTTGTAGGAAGCGCTGCACCTTTCCTATGGAGTGTTGAGCTTCTGTTCTCTTTGCTTCTGTTCCAGGCCCACCTGCCATTTGCCGTCATCGGCAGCACTGAAGAGCTGAAGATTGGCAACAAGATGGTGAAGGCACGGCAGTATCCTTGGGGCACGGTGCAGGGTGAGTGAGTCTCCAAGAGAGAGGTGACACTCAGAGGCCCCTTCTCTTTGTCTCCTTGCCTTTCCCCAGTCATTGTGCAACAAGTCCCTCCACCTGATCCACGTGGGCAAGTAAGGAACACTTAGAAGGCATACTTGGACTCTACACCTGGATTCTTTACTAGTGAAAGGTGTCCTTAAGCAAAAGCAAGTGTACTTGGAGCAAGGTAGGAAGAGATACGCAAGAACGCATGTAAAGAGCCATACCTTGGAGATGTTGCAGGTCCAAGCCCAGCCTACCATGAACAAGTGAATATGACAATAAAGCAAGTCGTGTAACTCACCTCCCTACCCCCGCTGGTGGCCTAGTGGGTAAGGAGTTTTGGTGCCAACCCAAAGGCACATGGTTTGAATCCACCAGCTGTTCTGCAGGAGAAAGATGAGCAGTCTCTTCTCATGTGATTTACAGTCCCTGAGAACTTGCTGGAAGATCTTCTGTGAGTTGGTTCAGATCCCACGGCACATAACAACAGCTGCTTAGGAAGGTTATGTTAAAACCCACTGGAGGGTCATCTTTGTTTCAGACTCAACTGTGCTCACCAACAACATATTCTATGTCAGTGAGAGATTTTATCCCACTCATGGACAGTGAGCTTTAAGCAGTGGAGTTATGTCCACTGACTTGGGTTATGGGACAATTACCCTGACAACCACAAGGCAGTCTACAACGTCTGTGCCCACATCTTCTCATCCCAGGATGCTTCCCTGCCCCTCTTGCCCTTTCCCAGACACTGTAATCAGAATCTGAAGTCACAGCGTGAGCATCATCTCAGACACCCACTCTCCCTCCCGGGTCAGGCCGAGCACCGCCATTCCGACCCAGTGATGCTGGGCCTACAGACTCAGCACACACCAGCTTTGGGCGGAAAGTGGGGTTCACTTTGTCTTGGTCACTATCGATGCTGTCAGGCCATTGTTGTTCTTCTCCACTATTCTCTGGAGGTTACGGAATCTGGCCATACCCTTTGTTTTTCCCTTAGTCCCTTTAGCCTAGTTGCCTGCATTTGAATCCTAGTTCTGTTCTGCAACTCACTTGCCATGTGACCTTGCCTGACCTGCTTGAAACTGCAAGGATTGATCTCTGATAAATTCCTGCTCTTGATTCAAGTTGTTGTTGTTGTGTACCATCGAGTTGGAACAGACCCAAAGCGGACCCTCCAGCAGATTTTCAGAGGCAGTAAACCACATGGGAGGAAACTGCCCATTCTTTTCACATGGAGCAGCTGGTAGATTCAAACTGCCTATCTTTGAGGTTGCAGTGCAGTTTCTTATAACTGTTGCTACCAAGGATGCTGCATGGAGATCCAAGTGAAAGGAAATAGTTGACAACTTGAATCTTGGTTCAAGAGTCATCTTAAAGTTTTTTCTTTGGTGGAGAGATCTTAGGCTTCTTCTATTGCTTTTATTGCTCCATGGCCATGCCTCCAGTTTTGTAATTTTTGCATTACTTCATGGGTTGATTTCTGAACTGGCCTAGTGGTAAGAAGCTGCACTGTAATCCCCATGGCACACAGTTCGAATCCACCAGCTGCTCAGTTGGGAAAGAGTAGACATTCTCCTCCTGTGCAATTTACTGCCTCTGAAAACTCTCTAGAGGGCCAGCTCTGGGTCAGTTCTGACTTGATGGCACACAACAACAACAACATATGATCTTGGGAACAATATTTACTGGATGAATATGCATTTGCTGTTGTCCTATAATGATTTCTATGAGGGTTCTAATTTGTGAACTGTGGTTGAGATGGTTCTGAATGCTTTCTTGTGTGTGTGTATGTTTATATTTATATATATATATATATATAAATTTGGTGTACTGCCAAATTTAATCCGACTGGCACAGGAGGAGTTTGCACTACCTTCTCCAGTGGAGTATCTGGTGGATTCAAACTGCACACCTTTGGGATTGCAGTGGCTTTCTTGGATATTTTAATGGTAGCCCCATTTTCCACTACTGCCATCTTGGTAGTTTGTAATTTGCATTTCCAGTAGAAAAGCAAGTTAGAAAGTAATACACAGGCTCTGTCTATACAGATTGCAAGATGATGTCACTGTCCAACATGTGGTGTCTCATTTTCATCCATTTCTATTTCTGCTGGCCTCCTTTTCAATATGCTTTCACTCCCTCATCCCCTGCTGTGCAGTTGAGAACGAGGCCCACTGTGATTTTGTGAAGCTGCGGGAGATGCTGATTCGGGTCAACATGGAGGATCTTCGGGAGCAGACCCACACCCGGCACTATGAGCTGTACCGCCGCTGTAAGCTGGAGGAGATGGGCTTCAAGGACACCGACCCGGACAGCAAACCCTTCAGGTACCTCTCCCTCCAGCCCAGCCCAGCTGGGTGGTGTGCAAACCTTGCCCTGGATAATTCACTGGGAAGACATGGATGCCTATGACCTACAGGAGTGAGAGGCAGAGGAGGGGAGGAGCCTAACTGGCAGTTCCTCTTGGCCATTCTCAATCTGTCCCTGCATAGCTGCCAGGAGAGCGTTGGCTGGGCAGGCCCGGAAGCACCGTCATCCTGCTGCTGTGAGACAGAGCAACACCATCGCAAGCACACATGTATGAGTGTTCCAGGCAACCCATGCTGGAACCGGAGCCCTGAGCCAGGACCTTGCACTGCAGGGTCTGTCTGTGACTATCCTCCTCTGTCCCACTTTCTTCATCAAACCCCTGCTGAACTGCCAGCTTTCCACCTTTTCCAACATGACCCAAATCACATAGGATGGGGTTGCACTTCTTTTCTTTTGTGACAAACTCTAGGCTCTTTCTTCACTATCCTTAGAGTTTCAAGTTAGATGCATATGTTTTTTTAATGTCTTTAGAGATTTTTTTTTTTAATTTGTTTTTATTTGAGTGAAGGTTTACAAATCATATTAGGTTTTTGGAACATTCCTAGACATTTGGTTTTATAACATTCGCCAATGACTCATGTAATTAATTATTCCAATGTCTAGTCAACCCCTTTTTGTGGAGGGCCTTTCCCTCCACTCCACTCATCTGTTTATTAACTTACTCCCTTCTCCCATCCCTGTTATCCTTCCATGATTAAGTCTATCTGTGTGGAAACCTTTCCTCATCTTTTCATGATAGTAAGCTTAGACCTTACTTGTCTTTTTTGTGACTGGCTTATGTCACACAGCGTTAAGTCCTTCTAAGTGTACATTTTAAGCACAGATTGTTAACAGCCACTGGCACGTTTCCCCACCCAGGATCTCAGGTGCTTTCAGAGGCAAGGAATGCTGTCAGAAGCTGCTTATTCAGGCTGACACTTTGGGAGTGAGATCCCAAGTGTCTGATTGGGGTGTGCCACCAGGTGATGCCCTTTATTGTGGCCAAGAATGGCCTGGTCTCATTTCAGGCAGTGTCAAGCAAGTGAGGGACATGTGGATTGGGCCAGAAGGCTTTCAAATGACCCCTGAAACCCCTCAGAACCTGTCACCAGTAGAAAGACAACCTGGGGGCAAAGCATTAGGTGATCCTTTGAGGATGCGTGCTTCCAGAGAGGTACTGACTCAGTTCCCTCAGCAGATAGGCTGGGACAGAGGCCCTGACAGCTCCTGAGGGCACAGATGGGTGTGCTTATTGCTGCCTGAAAGGACTTTGCGCAGTCTTTCCTCTCCTTCCCCTCTGATAATTTATCCTCTTCCGGGACTAGACTAATCCCTCTCCCCAGTCACTTCATCCCCTCCTCACTTCCTTTAAAGGAGTCCTGGTGGTGCAATGGCTAACTACTCCGCCACTGAAAGGTAGGTGGTTTGAACTCACTGAAGGGAGTGCTGGTGACCTAGTGGTAAGGAGTTGTGCTGCCAAAGGTAGGCCGTTCGAATCCACCAGTGGCTCCGAGGGAGAAAGATGGGCAGTCTTCTCCTGTGCTATTTACAGCCTCTGAAAACCTGCTGGAGGGTCAGCTATGAGTCCGTTCCGACTCGACAGCACATGACAGTGGTTCCCACCACAGGGAAAAAGATGTGGCTGTCTGCTTCTGTAGAGACTAAAGCCCTGGAAAACTATGGGGCAGTGCTGCCTTGTCCTCCAGGGCGCTATGAGTTTGAACTGATTCAACGGCACTTGACAACACGCTCTCTTCCTTTGCTCCATCCCAAATACGCTCTTTCCCTCATTTCCATCCTCTTCACTTTTCTCTCCTGTGTTTGTGCAGAAACATTTTAAAGAAGCTCTCCCTTAACTCTGCTCTTCCTCCCTGCCTTTGCTCTGTCAATTAGTTTGGCTCTGATGGGAAGGAGAAAGAGTTGTTCTGCATATACTGTCTCCACTTCCTCATCCTTCAGTTACTCCTCAGTCCAAAGCAGCCTGGATTCTTCCCCTCACTGTTCTACCTGGGTGCTGGGTCTGCAATTACATCACCTATTGGCATCAAGTCAAATCTAGCTCATATAAAACCGAGCAGAACCACCCCATCGGGCTCCTTGGACTGAAATCTTTATGTGAGCAGGCTGCCATAGTTCTGTCCAGTGGATGGGTTCAAACTACCAACCTGGAGGCAGTTTAGTGCTTAGCCACTCACTGCAGCACTAGGGCTCCTTAGCAACCACATCACTTAGTCACTCACTCACCCACCCACCCACTGGCATCGAGTCAGGTAGAGACTCAAAGCTGACCCTCCAGTGGGTTGTCGAGAGGCTGTAAATCACACGAGAAGCGATTGGCCATCTTTCTCCCTCAGAGCTGCAGGTGGATTCGAACAGCCAGAGAGGCGCAGCTTTTGGGTTAGCAGCACAACTCCCTACAGACTATGCCACCAGAGCCCCCTGGCAGTCACTTACTCCTAGCCAAAGTCAGAACTCCCTTTTCGTGCCATGTTGTTGGATCTCAGAGCAACATTCCATGCTGTGCCCTATGGCTCCTCCTTCTGGAAGCACTATTCTTTTCGTTGGTCTTAAAAAAAAATAAAATTTTATTTTACTACTGGTCCAACTGGCTTTAGTTCTGTGTTTCCAGCTACTCCTTTCCAGCTCCCGCCGCAGGCTTGTTTTCTTCAGCTTCCCCCTCCTGATGTTGGTATTCCTGGGCCTCGCCTCTTTTCACACTCCACTCTCACCGCAGCATTTTCCCCCCTCTCACCGCCCTAATCCCACCTAGGAGTCTATGGCTTAAGACCCCCAAAGGAATATCTCACTTCTGAGCTCCAAACCCATCCATCCAACTGCACACTAGGTCTTTCCTATCGGGCACCTGTTGCCATTATGTGCCATCGAGTCAGAACCAACTCCTAGATGACCCTTCTGCAGGTTTTCAGAGGCTGAAAATTGCATGGAAGGAAATTGCCTTATTTTTCCTCCCCTGGAGCAACTCTTTTTTTTTTATTTTTTATTTATTTATTTATTTTATGTGTGTACTGTCAAATTGGATCTGACTGGTAAGGAGGCAATTGTTCCTCCCTCTTCAGCAGAGCATCTGGTGGATTTGAACCACAAACCTCTGGGATTGCAGTACAGTTTCCTGCCACTAGGCCACCAGAGCTCGCCAGACAACACAACTCTTTGCCCACTAGGCCACCAGAGCTCCCTGGGCATTTGAAACTCAGCCTGTCTAAAACGTAATTCATATGCTTCCCTCTTTAACATCTTCTGTAAAAAATATATATATATATATATAACAGAAATAAAGAGGAAAAAAATTCTCCTCCCTCAGTGTTCCTCCTCATGGTTCCTGGTACTACCACCCACTTAGTTGGCCAAGCCACAAACAGGAATCATTGCTGGGTCCTCCCAAATCGGGGGAGTTCTGCTTCCATTGTTGTTCCTCAAATTCAGCCTTGCCCTCCATTTCCTCCCAACTCTTAACATTAAGGGCCCTATCACTTTGTACTTGGTTTCTTGGGAAGTCTGCCCTTCATATCACTGCACCACGAGCCAGAGTGAGATCTTTCTAAAATGCAAATTGGATTCAGTCCGCCCTCCGCTTACAGCCCTGCAGCATCCGGATACATGTTCGTTTCCTGAGTATGGCATCCGAAGCCTGTTCTTGGCTGCTTGACTCAGTACCTCCTCGCTGCTACGCCACAGCTTATGAGCCACTCTCATGCCATATTGAACTACCTCTGCTGCCCCGAATATGCCATTTTCTCTTCACATGCATGTTTGTACACATGCTGCCATCTTTTGAGCACAATTCCTCAGCTTATTCTCTGAGCTAACTCCTATTTCATTACAAAACATTCCAGACGGAGGGCAAAAGGGCTTCACCCAGGGACCTTGTACTACTTCGTAAGTTCCTTGAGCTGGGAGTTCTAGAAGCTAAATGACTAGAGGAGTGCTACATCTAGTGCATGGTGGAGGTTCAGCAAGTGTTTCTTGAAAGAACTCACTGACCTTGTCAATTTCAAAGCATAGCAACATAGTGTAGTATAAGAGATGGGAAACTTAATTTCCCTTTCCAGTTCTGCCTCTAATTAGCTGTATAAATCACCTCACCTCTCAGGGATTCAGTTTCCTCATTTATAAAATAAGAGTGCAAAACCAGAGAATTCCTAAGTCACCCTCAGTTGCAATCTCTCTCCGGTTCGCCAGGGCTGCCAGCCCCCCCCTCCCCGCTCCCAAGCAGCTCTATGCTCCTGCTATCGCATGTCAAGCTAACTACCCACAGCTTGTTGGTTCTGTGTGTATTTGTTTGTTTTCCCCATCTTCTCCTAGAAATGGGGAAGGCAGGCTGGAGGAATTCGGGGAGCACCCTTGGACGGCGGTAACTCTCATCATATAGGAGCCTTTCAGAAGGCAGCGGAATTAACCTTGACCATGTTTGCAGTTTACAGGAGACATATGAAGCCAAAAGGAATGAATTCCTAGGGGAGCTCCAGAAAAAGGAAGAGGAGATGAGACAGATGTTCGTCCAAAGAGTCAAAGAGAAGGAAGCGGAGCTCAAAGAGGCAGAGAAAGAGGTAAATGAGAGCCTGGTTGCCAGGCCACCCATGAAATGAGGTAGAACTCGGGCATGGCAGGGTCCTCTGCCTTAGACAAGCAGCCCTTCCAGGTCAGGCAGGAATGTACATGCCACGTGCACTGCTTTGGTTGGCACACGAGTGGGCTGCACGGCTGGGGTCTCATTCCCTTACTCCCCAAGGTTGAGATGTATTCTCCTTGTGCATTTTTTTAGCCCCCTAGAGCTGCACTTAACAACAACAGAGCTGCACTGTCCCATTAGGTAGCTGCTAGCTAAGTGTTTGTTGTTGTAGTGTGCCATCGAGTTGGAACCTAGCTGACCCTGTAGCAGGTTTTCAGAGACAGGAAATCACACAGGAAACAACTGCTCATACTTCCCCCACGGAGATTTCATTTAAACCACTTGCCTTTGGGATTGCAGTGCACCTTCTCACCACTAGGCCAAGTTGTTAAAAGATGAGCAGTCTCCTCCCCAGTGACTTACTGCCTCTGAAAGCCCACTGGAGGGGTCAGCTGTGAGTTGGTTCCTACTCAACAGCACACACCAACAGCTAAGTGTAACGATTTAAAGTTACAGTTTGAGTGCCTAGACAGTGCAAATCGGTAAGCAATCAGCTGCCAGCCAAAAGGTTGCCAGTTCAAATCTACCCAGAGGCACGCTGGAAGAAAGGCCAGGCAATCTACTCTCAAAAGGCCTAAACCAAAAAGAAAACCAAACACATTGCTGTCAAGACAATTCCGACTCATGGCAACCTCTCCGCCATGTGTTGGAGAATACTTCACTTACTCATTCCCATTGAATCAGAACTGATTCGTACTTGACCATGAGTTTCCAAGACTGTAAACCACACTGGAAGAGAATGTCCCATCTTTCTCTCGCAGAGCTTCTGGTTGATTCTAACCACTAGAGAGGCTCTGCCTTTGGGTTAGCAGTATAACTCTCTGTGGCCCAGGCCACCAAAGCTCCAGCGTTACAGAGTGTTGTTGTTGATATGCAATGTCAAGTCAGAACTGACCCATAGCTGAGCCTCCAGCAGGTTTTCAGAGGCAGTGACTCACACAGGAGGAGACTGTCTGGCTGGTGGATTTGAACTGCCTGCTAGAACCATAGAGTTTCTTTGCCTGTAATCTCTAAAGAAGCTGATTTCCAGGTTTTTCTTGTATACTTCCCTGGGCAAGGTTTTGAACCACCAACCTTTCAGTGAGCGAAAATCATCTTTGCCATCTAGGGACCTTCCAAAAGGTCATAGCCATTGCAAACTCTATGTGCTGCAGTTCTGCTCTGAAACGCATGGGGTCGCCATGAGCTGGAATCAACTCAGCAGCAACTGGGGGCGGGGGGGAATGATATTTGGAATTCAGTCTGTTGGTCACATTGGCCATATTTCACACACTCAATCCTTGCACTACTAACTGTTGTTACATGTTGTTGTGTCAGAATGGACTCATAACTGGCCCTCAGCGGGATTTCAGAGGCAGTAAATCAGGGCAACGGGAGATGGCTGCCCATCTTTCTCCCACAGGGCCAACAGTGGATTAGAACCATGTACTTTTGGGCTGGTAGTGCAGCTCCTTACCACTAGGCCACCAGAGCTCCATGCATCTAACTGGTGCCTATCATATCGGACAGTATCAATACAAAACATTCTCATTGTCCTAGAAATTTCTATCAGTTTGAGCTGCTAAAGAGACAAGTCTGGACATGCTCCTTTGAGGTCAAGTGCAGAGAGCTGTTTTTGCTTCTTCCTGGGAATTCTGACACAGGAGAAGGTTTGCCACCGTATATAGTTGTCCTGCCCCATCCTGTCTCCTCTGGTGCTGGTCTCCATAGGTAGGGAACCAGTTCTCAGGAGGTTAGGTACCTTGCTGAAGCCTAAAACTGACAGTCCGGGCATTTCCCTGTTCACACGAGTATTCAGTTCCACTTCATTTGTATTGTTGAGGAAACATCCCTGAAGTCTAGTGAGTTTTTAAATCAAGGTTTGACAGCTTTCTCCGTGTTTTTATTCCTTAAGTCATGCCAAAATTAGTAGTTATTTCTCTAAGCAGCTTTGGTGGTACAATGATTAAGCACTCAACTGCCATTGAAGAAGGATTGGTGGTTCGAACCCACTCAGTGACTGTGGGCAAAAGGCCTGGTGACCTGCTCCTGTCAAAATTAACGCCACACTCAAACCAGGTGCCATGACGAGTCAATGCCAGTCGAAGGCAGTGAGAGAGGCTTCAGGGTTGTAACGACTAAGTAAGCTAATACACATAAAGTGCCTGTGTTAGTTTATTATCAGTGATGCCACTAACCACGTGTGGTAGCTATGGAAAATTTTACACAAAATGTTTGAAGCAGCAGAATGTAGGCTTCTCCCATGGATTCACACACTCACTCACGTATTGCTGTCAAGTTAGAACTGACTCATAGCCCACCCTCCAGTGGGACTTCGAAGCTATAAATTACACAGTAGATTGCTCACCCTCCAGATCGATCCTCCAGGGCTGTTGGTAGATTTGAACCACCAAACCTTTGGGTTAGCAACACAGCTCCCTACAGACTATGTTACGAGAGCTCGCTCACAGGTTCAGGTGTTGTTCATGGCTATTGAGTCAGAACCAGAACAAACACATAGGTGAGCCTCTAGCAGATTTTCAAAGGGTGTAAATTGCAGGAGAGTAGGTTGCCCATCTTTCTCCATCAGAGCAGCTGGTGGGTCGAAACCACTTGTCTTTGGGTTGGCAGCACAACTTCTTATCCACTAGGCTACCAGAACTCCCCAGTACCAGGTTCACTAGTAGAGCTGAATGCAGGGAACAGTCTAGAACATGGTAGCATGATGACAGTTACTGCCGAAAGTGCCTTCTGAGATCCCTATGCTTCCCCACCAGCTGCATGAGAAGTTTGACCGGCTGAAGAAGCTACACCAGGACGAGAAGAAGAAGCTGGAGGATAAGAAGAAAGCCCTGGATGATGAAGTAAACGCTTTCAAACAGAGGAAGACAGCTGCCGAGCTGCTCCAGTCCCAGGGCTCCCAGGCCGGAGGGTCACAGACTCTGAAAAGAGACAAAGAGAAGAAAAAGTAAGTGGTAGGTGAGGCTGCGCTGGTGGCTGCCTCTCCATCCCCTGCTCATCCCCTCAGGGCAGGACCAGGAGGCTCAGGGGACTGCGGGCTGTGGACCACAGGTGAGCTGGGAGCTGTTAGGCCAGTTTGGGGCCCTATACTTGCTCTCAGCATTCCTGGGGAGGCTTTAGACTCTAGAGGCTCAGGAGTGTGACCTGACAGGCCCAGCCCCTCTTAGCACAGATCTGCAAACTCAAGGCAGGAAGAAGAGGGATGAAAAAGCCAGAGGAAAGTGAGAGAGTAAACGAGTGGAAATAATGAGACCTGCAAAACAATAATAGAGACAGGAACAAAAGAAGGCAAAAACAGAGGAAGAAGAGAAAGCCTTTAGCTCAGCTTCTGAACATCCTCATCTCTCCCTGAGAGGTTAAAGCTGATCTGGGCGTCCAGGTCTGCCTGATGGTTCTACACAGGAGGCACGTCCTGGAACGCATGCCTGAGTTCCAACCTTACCCTGTCTCAGCTCGCACCAGCTATAGCTGACAAGAGCTTGACTGGGGCTGCTGCAGGCCACTGTCCTTATTGCCCACTCTCCAGGATGCTCCATGGGACGGTAATCCTGGTCCACTTCCAAGTCTTTGGTTGCTGGGTTTAACTAGCCAAGTTACCCACTCTTTATCCCAGAATCAGAAAGGAGTAAAGCCTTTCTTATGCGACCTGTATAAATAATGTCAAGAAAGTTACCAGTGGTCCCCTGCTGGCATTCTTTAGCTGTTCATGCAGCATGGTCTGAGAGAGCCCCCAAATGGAGTAGTTAAATGATATCCTTACTGCAGGGCTACAAGGCTCTAAAAGATGCCCTTGGCCACTGCCACCTATTTTCAATCCCTGGTCCTTTAATTTGACTCATATGGCTGGCAGAAGGGGGAAACATATCCTTTCCTCGAACATTCTCACTTAAGGACTAAACTTTTGCACTTTTAATAGGTAAAATCTTTTGTATTTGAAGGCACTCATTCTTGCCATCTCATTATTCTTGATTCAACATTTGTCTAGAGATTTGTATGGTCCTGGATCATAGTGCTGTATGCCACATTCATCAGCTTATTAACTCTTGGTTTTATCTGATGGATGAAGTTCAATTAGGGGGGGAAAAGTCGCTTGGGACACATCATATGTTATGTGATTTGTTGTGGTCTCTCCAGTAGGAAGGGATTTCTAATTTTAAGATCATAAAAATCTAGATTTTTCTTCCAGTTCTAACCCGCTGCCTTCACAGTCCTGTGATGTCTGTGAACTCAATTCCTGGGACATTTTCACCACCTGTTTGTAAGAATTTGGGGATGAGTTTATTCTGACCCAACTGACAACTAACGTCAAAGCTTTATGACTTTAATCACTAATATAATAGATACTACTATCACCTATTCAGATGTTTAGAGAAAATTCTTGAAGATATCCACACTTTCCCCCTAATGACCTCAAAAGTTAGAAGTAGGGAGGTACTTCTCTCTGGTCCCCAGCAATATTTGGTGTTGGTTACAGTGTCCTTTTGTAATTTGTTGAGATGCTAAAAAAAAATGTTACTGGCTTGTGGCACTTCACAACAGCCATAAGGGTCTAACAGGGTTGGTTGCCTCTTTCCATACTTCTAAGTGTATAAATAGCCCCAGCTTTAGACTTCCTAAATAATTCCATGATCAGTTGGTTCACTTCTGGAAGTCTCCCATTAGATTTAATGCCATGCTGCTTCCATGGTGATGGTGGTGGCTTTTGAGGGTAGATGTGGTAGTGACAGTGTTTCTTCTTGAGAGATAGTGGTTGAATCCAATAGGCAACCATTCAGAATTTCCTTTAGTGGCCCTAAACCAGAGAAGACAGTTATTAGTACTTCAGGAGCCCTACTATCCCTAGCTTCCCTCTTCCCCACCATACTTACCCTTTGACCTCTAACTCCTCATTGTTTGTGTCTATTCATAGTAACTGATTTCTCCTTATGCTCACTCCATCATCATCATCATCATCAGCTTTTAATGTTTTACAGTTAACTGTGCTGTTTGCTGCATGCTGCATGAGACCCTGGGCCCTGGTAAGCTTTATTAACCCTAAATAGAATTGACAACGTTTTCTAGAGCACATTCACTCCACCTTCCCTCCAACACCCCTACCCTCACAAACTTACAAGTACCTCTCTAATCATAGATGAATCTGCTTCATTGGTATATCTAATTTCCTCCTATGACTTACAACATTAAAAAATAGCCTGGGTGATTTCAAGAGTGCATGTGGAATGCTTGCTTGTCTGGTTGAAAAGGGGTAAGTATCCAGACTTTTGCTGCTAGAACAGCTGGGTATCATAGCTGGATAATTTGATCAATAGTTGAGGGCTGGCTTTTGGCTTTAAGCAACAAGGGAGCTCTGGTTGGCCTAGTGGGTAAGGAGTTGTACTGTCAATACAAAGGCAGGTATTTCAAATCCACCAACTACTGCATGGGAGAAAGATGGGCAATATCTTATTGTGCAATTTATAGCCTCTGAAAACTCACTGGCAGATCAGCTATGAGCGAATTCCAACTCAATGGCAATGAGTGAGTTGAGTTGAATTGAAACAATAGTGGGCTTAATTGTAACACAGAATGTGAGAAATGTGCAGAATCAGGCTGGGTTTTGTTCATAGGGTTACTTTGAGTTGAAAGTGACTCAATTGGACCTAATAATAACAGTCTTTAATTAATACATTCAAAAGGAGCTCAGCTATAGTGATGAGGGAAACTACTGGGCTCACAAGTCCTGTAGACAATGTTCAAATTTACTTTGGCTATGTATTCATCCAAAATTATAACAAAGGAAGTGAAACAACCCCAGATAGTATAGGGAATTTCTTACATTTACTTCTACAGATAGGGGGCTCTGGTAGCTTACTGGTAAAAAGTTGCATTGCCCAACCAAAGGCACACAGTTCAAATCCACCAGCTGCTCTGTGGGAGAAAGATGGGCAATCTCTTATTGTGCGATGTATAGCCTCTGAAAATGCATTGGAGGGTCAGCTATGTGTCAGTGCTGACATGATGGTACCCAACAACAATAATAGTTCTATAAGTAACAAGTTCATGAAAACCTTTGATAAGGAGAGGAACAGAAGATGATCTTTTGGTGAGAAAGATTCCAAAGGTGCTATGTCCACTAGAGTGAAAAAACAAAAGCAATGGTTAACCACCTCTATAAGGGCCATAAGGGAGCCCTATTGGTATAGTGAATTATGTTCAAGACTGCTAAACAACGAGCTTGACCATTTGAATCTACTAACTGTGCCACAGGGGGGAAAAAAATGAAGCAGTCTGCCCTTATATTTATAGCCTCTGAAACACAGAAGACAATCACTATGGATCAGAATTGACTCAACACCTTAAGGAGCCCTGGTTGCATTGTAGTTGGAACACTTGAAAAATAGCCAAAATGTTAGTAGAAGTCAACCAGTCACTGCTTCCAGAAAGATTTGCAGCCATAAAAACCCTCTGGGGGCAGATCTACTCTCTGATGTCCTAGTGGTAAGAAGCTATGCTCCTATCCTGAACGTCTGAATCCATCAGCTGCTTGGCAGGAGAAAGATGGGCAATCTCCTCTGGCATGATTTACTGCCTCTGGAAACCTGCTGGAGAGTCAGCCACAGACTGGTTCCAATCCAACAAGAACATGGGGTTGCTATGAATTATAATAGACTTGATAGAAAAGAGCTGGAGTCAGAAAATCAAAAGGGCAAAACTCGCTCAGCAGTTCTTAAGCTGAAGGAACTGAAAAACAAATTCAAGCCACGAGTTGCAATACTTAAGGATGCTTTGGGTAGAATGTTAAATGATCCAAGAAGCATTTAAAAAAAATGGAAGTATACAGAGTCACTGTACCAGAAGGAATTGGCTGACACAGAAGAATTTCATGAAATAACACATGAACAAGAGCCTGTGGTGATGAAGGAGGAAATTCAAGTTCCTCTGAAAGAACTGGCAAAAAACAAGGCTCCAGGAGTTGATGGCATACTTCTTGACATATTTCAACAAACAAACGTTGCCCTAGATGTGCTCACTAAGTTGTGCCAAGAAATCTAAAGGACAACCATCTGGCCAACTGACTGGAAGAGATCTATATTTGTTCCTATTCCAAAGAAAGGTGACCCGACAGAGTACAGAAATTATCGAACAATATCATTAATATCACATGCAAGCAAGATTCTGCTGAAGATTATCCAAAAATGACTGGAGCAGCATGTCAACAGAGAACTGCCAGATGTGTAGGCAGGATTTAGAAGAGGTCATGGTACTAGGGATATTATAGCTAATGTTAGATGGATCTTGGCAGAAAGCAGAGAGTACCAGAGGAATGTCTATCTGTGCTTCATTGACTATGCAAAGGCTTTTGACTGTGTGGATCACAACAAGCTGTGGCTGACTCTAAGAAGAATGGGAATCTCGGAACATTTGATTGTGCTTATGCAAAACCTATATGTGGACCAAGAGGCAGTCGTCAGAAGGAACACTGCATGGTTCAAAATTGGGAAGGATGTCCACCAAGGATGTATTCTGTCTCCATACCTTTTCAATCTGTATGCAGAACAGATCATCAGGGATGCTGGGCTGTATGAGGAGAAATGTGGCATCAGGATTGGTGGAAGATTCATCAACAACCTGCGTTATGCAGATGACACAACATTGCTTGCTGAAACGGAGGAGGACCTGAAGCACTTGCTGCAGGTCAAGGAGTACAGCCTTCAATATAGATTGAAGCTCAACATCAAGAAAACAAAGATTCTCACCACTGGGCCAATTGGCAGCATCAGTATGGATGGTGAAAAGATTGAGATAGTTAACATAGTTTGCTTGGCTCCATAGTCAGCACTCTTGATACCAGCAGCCAGGAAATCAAGAGACGACTTGCATTGGGAAAGTCAGCTGTCAGGGACCTCTCTAGAGTACTGAAGAGCAACGACGTTAGGCTGGAGACTAAGGTGTGCCTGATCTGGGCCA